AATGTATTTATTGATGCAGACTTCAAGACACTTCTGTAAGTTGCTCTGGATAAGGGCGTCTGTCAAATACCATACGTGTAAATGTACAGCCTCCATCCGAAATTACTGGGGCGGCGAGGCCAATTCATTATTTTGTGCTCTCCACCAAAGACATGTGGGTTTGAGATGAAAAGACAGATATGAGACGAGAGTTTAGGATTTCAGCTTTTATTTCTTGGTCTTTTATATCTAGGTGTGTTGGAAAAACAAAACATAGAACCTTTTGTATCACACGATTTATAGGTGAGCAAAAGTATAGGAACTGACAAATCTTCAAGTAAATAACACTTAATGTTTGATGGTATATCCATCGCTCGCAATGACTGCATCAAGCCGGTGACTCACTGACATCAACAAAGGGTTGGTTTCTTATTTTGAGAAGCTTTCCCGGGTTCTTTGAGTTATTGTTTGTTTCTGGAGGGGTTTCTCCATGCAGTCTCCTCCTCAGGAGGTGAAATGCTGTTCAGTTGGGTTAAGGTCTGATGATTGACTCGGCCAGTCTAAAACCTTCCACTTTCCCCCCCATTGATGAACTTCCTTTATTGAGTCGGCGGTGTGTTCTATGGATCGTTGTCTTACTGCATGATGAATTTCCTCCTGATTAATTTAGATGCATTTGTCTGTAAATTGTCAGACAAAATGTTCCTGCAAACTTCTGAAATCGTTCTGCTCCCATCATCAATAAAGATGAGTGAGAATGTTCCAGAAGAATCCATGCAAGCCCAAGCCATGACACTACCTCCACCATGTTTCACAGAAGAGCTTGTATGTTTTGGATCATGAGCAGATCCTTTATTTCTCCACACTTTGGCCTTTCCATCACTTTGGTAGAGGTTCATCTTGTCTTCAGTCTACAGAAAAAATAAATTTTAACCCTTGCCATGCCAATGGTTTTGTAGGGGACTGTAAATGTTTATATGCCTCGAGTAGTGAATAGGGTGTGTGGATTAGGACGTGACGTTTCTGATGGTGTTTGTTTAACTGATGGACGTGTACTGAACCAAATCCATTCCCAACACTCGCTCGGTCTCCTAGATTAGGGTGTTACATACAGCAAGTGAATCTTCACAGTAGGGTATAGGGGGACATTTTGAATGTAGCAAACATGTGCTTGTTCCCAAAAGACTTGAGATCAGAGGGAGAAACACACGAGGAGTGAGAGAGTGACTGAGAGAGAGAGAGAGAGCGAGCGAGCTGAGGGGCGGTTTTACGCTCGCTGTGGTTTTAGGTTTATCACAGGTAAACCACCACAACTACAGGAAAGCTGAAGGAACATCAGAAACTGGATTTGGATTTGGACATGATTACCAGACTCACAAGACCATTCACAGTTAATTGTCCAATCCTCTAGTTTATCATCTATTAGACAATCCATCCCTCCATCCATCAAACCCTTTGCAAATCTCTCCCTCTAGGAAGTCCCTACACCATCGTTCCACTTATTAATTACCTTCTTTTTATCCATCAATCCATCCATAAAATTACTTTATTTACATCCATCTATCTATCTGTAGCATATACTGTATTTACAGTAACAATCCACATCATATGTAGTGTCCATCCATCTATCTATCTATCTATCTATCTATCTATCTATCTATCTATCTATCTATCTATCTATCTATCTATCTATCTATCTATCTATCTATCTATCTATCTATCTATCTATCTATCTGTCTGTCTATCTATCTATCTATCTATCTATCTATCTATCTATCTATCTATCTATCTATCTATCTATCTATCTATCTATCTATCTATCTATCTAGCCATCCATCTATTCATCCATCGATTTATCTATCCATCTTTCTATCAATCCAGCTACCCATCTACCTATCTATTTATCTATCTATCTAGCCATCCATCTATCCATCCATCCATCCATCCATCCATCCATTTATCTATCTATCTATCTATCTATCTATCTATCTATCTATCTATCTATCTATCTATCTATCTATCTATCTATCTATCTATCTATCTATCTATCTGTCTATCTGTCTGTCTGTCTGTCTGTCTGTCTATCTATCTATCTATCCATCTATCTATCTATCTATCTACAGTGAGTTACTTCTGCCTATCTCTTGCTCGGCTGTTGTCCAGATCACCGCTGTAGTCTTCATGGAGGCAGCATATGAATATCAATCAGTAGCTTTTTCCCCTGTGCAACCTTCCACTGTCTCTCTCTCTCTCTCTCTCACACACACATACACACACACACTCACTCACACACACAGCCACACTCTCTCTTCTTGTCCTTAAAGCAAACCGAACAGGTCTGAAAGTGTGTGTGTGTGTGTGTGTGTGAGTGTGTTACATAAGTGAAGGACGTTCTTTCGCAGCAGGACTCTCGTCCTCTCCGCTCTCCCACTGTGGAAATTTCTACATATAGATGGACAGATGACTGGCTATAATCCTGACCCTCAACCCCCCCCCCCCACACACACACACACACAGAGGGAGAGTTCAGGCGCTTATGTAGTGAATTTCTGATGTAAGAGTGTTTTGTGTGTTCTCGTCTTTTATTAGTGACAAACAGCCAGATGACATCAACCGTTACAGCTGTAGTCATGGGCCATGTCCCAAACCACCCGAAAGCTTGGATTAATAGTGTGTACACCACCTGTAGTTAGCTAACTAACTGAAGACTCAGCAGCTATAACAAGGCTTCCCCAGTTACCATGACAACTGTTCACATCCCAGTCCGCCATTCTACCCTCCTGTATAGAAGAAACTTTACTGCAAAAATCGCAAGATGATTTAAAATGTTTTCGCTTTTGCTGTCATTTTTAGGAGACTGACACAGACAGAGATGACCGTCCCTGAGTGACTCACTCTGTACCGCAGGGCATGCTGGGATACGTGCTGTGTGCGTATGTGTGTTTGCCTAACGTTAGCAGGCCGATCACCATGTGGTTGTGGGTAAGTTTGTGTCTCCATGATGCTGACCTCAGCTCTGTATTTCTGTCCACGTGCGTCACTGCCGCACCCGACGTCCTCTTACGACCCGCCACAAATCACAGGCTTCGGTGACGGAAATAAATACACAAATAAACAAATAAATAAATAATGATATAGAACCGTCCGACGTCACATAACAACAGGGGGCTACATTTATCATTAGAGGCTGAGTCACTGAACCGAGCGGTAATTACCGATCCCCATCCTTTCACCGCTCAGCCATTTCTAAAGCGCGCGCGCGCACACACACACACACACACACACACACACACACACACACACACACACACACACACACACACACACACACACACACACACACACACACACACACACACACACACACACACACACACACACACACACACACACACACACACACACACACACACACGCGCGCGCGCGTGTGGGAAAACAACGCAAAATCAACAAAAATAAACCGACACAAAAGGAATAATAAAAGCACCGGCACCGATAATGAACAGGTAGGGCTGCAGAACCCGAGATCTTATCTGTGTCGATTTGATTTGCACTTGATTCTCGGGCCTCCGTGTTGATTTTGTAAAAGTAATCTGTGTCGTCTTTTCATTTCGCGCGCATATTTTGTAAAGAGGATATTAAACCGCTGACAATATTTCTATCTCTTTTTGCCATGATGTATTTTATATCTATGCTTTTATCTGTTTGTTCTATTAGCAAACGTGGAACTGATGTCGGTGCTGAAAGGCCACCTTCTTCACTTCACACTAAAACGCGTCAGTAAAGCCATACTTAGCGCTGCTACATGATAAAATAGTTTACAGTTCACAGCCCGTGTCCTGTACTGGTCCGTGTTGCACCGTGGTCATGAAGAAGCGACATTTCTTTCCAATATATACTAGATATATAGATATATATATATATGGGGGAAAGTGGTGGTGCACTTGTAATTCCTCTAGGGGGCAAAATAGAGCAATAAACTCCTGCTCAGTAGCTACTGACAAAATATCCTAATGATATTGGTGGCTAATCTGATGTACTGCACATTCAGGTTTTCAGAAGTTAGTACCTTAAAGAAGTGGTGTTTCAGAAGTATACTGCATCTTGCCACACTACAGAAATTGTTTGAGGAACGTGACAAAGAGTTCAAGGCGTTGACTCCGAATGCCACAGATCTCAATCTAATCGAGCATCTGTGGGAGGTGCTGGACAAACAAGTCCGATCCACAGAGGCCTCACCTCGCAACTTACACCGCATTAGGCAGGTGGTTTTAAGGTTACGACTGATAGGTGTATATAATTTGTTTTATTATTTTTATTTTCTGGTTGTCATTTTAAAAGACAAATTTACCCGGAGACGAGTGTGTTGGTGTGGGGCTTCGTGGCGTTGTGGTAAAGGCCTTGCCTCTGCGGTTGGAAGTCGCCGGTTCGAATCCGGCCTGTCTAACACAGGCAAAGGTCTAACACAGGTTTGGGTGTGGTGCGCTGAGCTCGGGTGAGAGAAGTGCTAGAGAAGAGGAGTGTGGGGAATGGATCTGTGTGGTGAAAGGGTTGGTGGAGTAAATGGTGCTTCACAAAACTAAAAAAAGTGTGGGTGATACGTTATTTTGCTGAAAAATTCTATATATGCAAAAACTAAGTCGAACCTCTTTCATTCTGGTCCATAACCCCTTTTGTTCCTCTTCTCCGAACCTGGGGGGCCAGATGCCCGGATATTCCCCCCGTTCACGCCCTTCGACCAGCCCGAACCTTCCACACAACCATTTCCTGAACCTTCCACAGTGCTGTTCCACACCTCCATTTCCTGAACCTTCCACAGTGCTGTTCCACACCTCCATTTCCTGAACCTTCCACAGTGCTGTTCCACACCTCCATTTCCTGAACCTTCCACAGTGCTGTTCCACACCTCCATTTCCTGAACCTTCCACAGTGCTGTTCCACACCTCCATTTCCTGAACCTTCCACAGTGCTGTTCCACACCTCCATTTCCTGAACCTTCCACTCATATCCTCATATCCTGGAGAACCTGGCTGGGGTTTGAACCAACAACCTCTCCATTCAGAGGCGAAGCTCTTCCAATTGAGCCACAGGATCTCGTACTAGCCGACTGTTTTAAATAACTTTTCACTTCACTATTCTTACTATCAAACAAACTAAAGCTAAAAGCTGGGATTCAAACCGGTGATGTCTGACACCAAAGACAGCTAATCACTAACCACTACACCACAGGGTCTGTCACTGCTTATTGGACTCTTGTCTTAATAAATGGCTCAATCAACAACAATAATAATAATCAGCAGCTTCTCGCAGTTTCTGTCAGTAACAGGAAGCTACGTGGTAACTATGAGAGTGCCGCTAACCAGCTCACACCAACATTCTGACTGACAACCAACAACCTCCTCCTCCACTTCTCATCTTCACACCTTTATTTCTTCTTTAAATCCTAAAAACTCTGACTTGTATGACTTTGTGTTTTGTTTTTAGCATCATTAGATGGCGGTTAGGAAAGTGGAAACCATTCCACTTTACATTCAGGTTTTGTCGTTCCCTTATGTTCATCATGACACATCACGGGGACGTTACCCAGACTCCCCCCGACATCTCCGTTCCTCCATCCCACACATGCGGACCTTCAGCACACACATCCTCGAGACCTGTCTGGGGTTCGGCTCGGCTACCTCCTGCCCCAGAGGCGAAGCTGATTCAGTTGATCTCATGCATTTATTTCTAGTTGTTCATATCCAACGTAACGAATGTTTCCAGCTCATGCACGTGCGTTAAAATCTACTAGCTAAAGCTGTAAAGAACGAGTTCTTGTGTGTGAACATGGCCGCTGTTTTAACAGGTGAAAGGTAGATGAAGACTTGATGTGTGGAATAAATACTGATGAGTTTGAGAATGGTGCTTTCAGAGTATACTATCATATAGACCAGGGGGTCCCAAACATTTCCAGGGCAAGGCCTTTTGCAAGATGTCTTTAAAACATATAAAAAATACAGACTTCTGAATATATCCCCCTTTTTTAAATGAATAATGACATCTTTACATTACATTAGGAATTGATTGTGTGTGTGTGTGTGTGTGTGTGTGTGTGTGTGTGTGTGGCTGTCTGAGGGTGAGAAAGAGAAAACGTACTAGTCGGAGGGATGGGCTCGGTGGCTCCGACCACATTGTTGAGGCCCCCTAGGCGCCCCCTGGCGGCCCCCACTTTGAAAACCACTGATATAGACTATTGTATGTTGTGCAGCTCTACACACAGGAACCGAAGCAGCAAGCAGCATTCCTCTCAGATCTCTGGATTAGGTGCGAGAAGAATAAATCCACCGACAGAGGATTTTACAGCCTCGGATAGCAGCTCAGAGCCCGATTTATTCTGCACCCGTTCTTCCAGAAAGTCTTTGATTTAAATCTGTGTAAACCTGAGCTAAGAAGATCGCAGCCGCACCGAGACAAACGCAAATCCCGTCTTTTCTCAGCCTCATTATACAAAGCTTCCATCTCTCATGTTCTCCTCCAGCGTTCAGACAAGAGGCCGAAATCTCGCCGATGTCGTCCTCAGACCCGAGTTGTGGGATCCGCGCTGTCCAGCTCGGAAATGAGCAATCATGCTAACGTTTAATACGCTTCAATGAAATATCTGGCTTAGGAACAAACCTCAGGTTGAAAATTGTGTGTGTTTTCAATCTGAGAGAATACACTGAGATTATAATGTGGATTTTTTAAAAATGAGTTATTTAATGGGATTAAATAACTGATACATAAAAAAGCAGCAATTTTACAGAATAATAAATCTCGGGTCAATTCCTAAAGTCTCAGGATTTCAGCGAGTGACGTTTAGCCCACGTTGAGACGTGACGTTATCCGGTTCATCCTCGTACTTTAAAGAGAACCTTACAAACACAAGGCATATCTTGGCTGTTTATGAATAAAACTAGCAAAGTCATCCGGCTAAACGCTGAGCCGCTAGCTCTCTGTGTGCTGACTCGGTCTTTACCCGAGTGTGATTTATGTTCGGGGTAAATCTTGTACGCTAACCGTTCATTAGCCGGCTGGGTTTATGCTGCTGCTTTTCTTTTTATATTCAGTATCCATGTACATCGTCCCAAACCACACGCTCTTTAATTAAAGCTCTTCTAAGGAAAATTTGCATTTCAGACCCAGCTAATGCCACTGGAGTCTATAAATCCCATCCGTAAGAGCGGAAACTGAACCGAATCGACTCGCAAATCTTCTGTATCAATACTAGATGAAGGAAATCAGCAGGTGGTTGAATTAAAACAAATAAAAGAAGGTGGTGCTAAAGGATATTAGCATAGGGCTAACCTAAAAACGTATCCTGTGAGAGAGATGTTCAGCAGTCGGTTCAGGTTTGGTTCGGTCGTGCCGTCGCTTTTACATTCCTCTGTAGCACCAATGCCACTTAGCGGCACCACTTAGCATACTGATGGCCCACATCGTTAGCTTGCCATGACTGTGTTTAACGTGACTTTAGGGTTCGCAGATATAATTCAGAATTCATCGTTCCATCTGTGATGGCGAGTCGTCCCCAACCACATGCAGCAAAACAGGCCCAAACCATGACACTACCACCACCATGTTTCACAGATGGGAGTCCAAACTCTTTACAGATGGTTTTGTAACCTTTTCCAGCCTAATGAGCATCAACAATTCCCCCTGCCACCCCCCCCCCCTCCAAGTCCTCAGAAATCTCCTTTGTGCGTGCCATGATGCTCAGACTCAGATAGTTCTTTAAATAAAACACGGCGTTCCCTCACACCTTTGATTGAAAACACCTAAACCAGTTTCACCTTCAAATTAACTGCTAATCCTAGAGGTTCACATACTTTTGCCACTCACAGATACGCAACATCGGAGCAGTTTCCTTCAAAAATAAAGTGGATCAAGTGTAACGTTTTCGTCTCGTACGTTTAATCGGGTTCTCTTGGTCTTCTCTTAGGACTCGTGTGAGAATCTGATGTTTTAGGTCACATTCATGCAGGAATCTAGAACATTCCGAAGGGTTCACAAACTTTTGATCTATCGATCGTAGAAGACTGAAATATTAAATCTGTTATTGTGCCGTGAGGCTAATCTTTAACCGGGACACATCACTAGTTTATAATACACTGTAAAGCCGTGGATATAATAATCAGAATATTTTACAGTCGAGTGCAAAAGTTTGCCCCCCCCCCCAAACTAACCACTGTTAATAACGGCGGCTGTGACAGTAGTGCAGGCTGTACGATAAAACACTACAGTTTCTATAGCAACAGACTAATAACAAATGCATTGTTATTGAACAACATATTTCAACGATACGTACAACGGAGTGACTCGACACGCTAGACTTAAACGTCACGCTTAATTCGATCCGCAATTGTAAAAAGAAAGCACTAAACAGAAATCCCAGAATTAATCTCTAAACTTAACGGCCCACGCCATCGCCGGTTTCGAAGCGATCTCATGCTGCTACGCTCCACTATTCATATGGAAATACACCTTTCCAGTGTTTTATTAACCCACGCCATGCAGAATAAAAGAGGAGTGGTTACCATTAGGTCCACGCATGAGGACGTGTTACTGGAAATAACGAAACTGGAGCTAATTAAGAGAACGGTAAACGAGGCACAGGACATGCTGCAACTCTCCAAGTCATTAACACGGAGTCATTAAGACTGAATGTGTAAAGCTTACACTTACTCGAGCAGAGCCAGATTAATTACCGCATCAAACATCAATAGAGGCCGATTTCGATCTTTCTACTGAATAAATGAGGAAGAAATGGCTTTGGGGTCGTGCCATTATAGGAATTAATCAACGATGCGGTGGAGTTCTCATCAACACCTCGAAGTTGATTCTTTTACGATAAAACGACGCCCCTTGATGTGCTTTATTTTTCGTACAGTTGAGGTCATACGTCTTTCTGATCGTGGAGTCATGAACAGTGACCTTTATTGATGCGAGAGGGGCCTGTAGGTCCTTTGATGTTGTCCTTGGGGCTTTTGCGACTTCCTGGATGAGACGTCGCTGTGCTCCTGGAGAAATTTCGGAAGGTCGGACACTTCAGGGAAGGTTCACTACTGTTCCGAGTTTTTCCATTTGGAGATGATGACTCTCACTGTGGGTTCTTTGGAGTCCCAGAGCCTTTGCAATATCTTTGTAAATCTTCCCAGACTGATGTATTTCAATCACCTTCTTCCTCATCATTCCTGGACTTTCTTTCAACTCCGCCACAGTCTGTTACTGAGGAACTTCATTCTGTTGAAAAAGTTCTGTTTAAGTGTTGATGTGATTGAACGGGGTTTGCGGTAATCGGACCCGGTTGCGTCTGGTCCAGCCGAACCCCATTATGAATGCACTCTCACAGATTTGGGGAATTAGTAACTACGGGGGCAAATACATTTTCACACAGGCCCAGCTGGTATTGGAGAACCTTTTTTTTTTTGCTTCAAGAAATAACACTATCATTTATAAACTGTTTTTAGTGTTTACTCGGGTTGCCTTTGCTTGAACCCCGATCTAGTTTTAATTTCTGAAAACATTTTGGTACGAGATGTATACAAAAAAAAAAAAAACCCCGGAAGAAATCAGGATGGGCGCAAATACTTTTTCACAGCACTGTATTTGTAGCTACATGGATAGAAGGTGCTGTGTAGTAGCACATTTCAGACTGCTTCAATGTTTCTGCTTCAAAAACTCGCCCGCTAGCTCTCTAACATTCACAAGGCATTTCTTAAACATGATGTACGCTCAACTGCAATGCATTATGGGTAACACACACACACAAACACAGTACGTGTTCTATTTAAATAATATGTAATAAAATAACTACTAGGAAGACGTCTGTTCTACCACGTGTGACCTGGTAGTGAATCCATAAAGTCTTGCGTTTGAGACACGACATATTCCTTTCAAATAAATAAACAAACAAACAAACAAACAAACAAATAAATAAAGAAAGAGACTTCAGTGCGTCGGAAGAGCCGGATTAATCTCACGCAGTCAGAGAGGAATCCTGCAGGACGTGTGAATATTTAAACTATATCCAGCACCCGAGCATTTTTAGCTTCGAGCCTGGTTTCACTCCTCAGAAG